CTTGGCATCATTTGTTGTATGAAAGCTTTCTTTCACCAAGATACATTTCTAGATCATTAATAATGACCTTTATGAAATGTTTTCAATCTATGAACACTCTTTCCAACATACTGACATGGCTTTCAGAGAAAATACTTCTGGGTAGAGGAGACTGACTTTCCAGACTCTCTTTTGATTTTGGGTTTAAATCACCTGTTTGGGTTAGACTTAGAGTAGAAAATAAAGTTTTGGGTCAGTCATTCTTTGATCACTCTCCTCTTCATCTTGGGTCCCCAGCTCTCTCTGGAGAAACATAGGGAGGCTTATTAAAATCGGGAACACCAGGCCACCTGGGTGGCTCCGTTGGTTAAGCGTCTGACTCTTGGTTTCAGCTCAGGTCGTGATCTTGGGGTCATGAGATCAAGCCCCGCGTTGGGCTCCATGCTCAGCATGGAGTCAATGTGAGTTTCTTTCTCCCCCTCCCTCTGCTCTTCCCCCTTACACTTGCTTTCTCTCTCTAAAATAAACAAATAAATCTTAAAAAAAAAAAAATCGGGAACACCAGAAAGAGCTACAAGAATCTATGTGGACAATGAGGTGAACTTTTGGCCAATGTCCATAGGTACTTTTAAGCTGAGATTCTCCACGTTGAATAATTCTTTCAACAACGGTCCTATTTAAAAACCTGCTGGTCAGAGGGAAATGCCTTCTTGTCACTCCCCCAGCACAGTTTAGTTTCCATGATGTGACTGGTACAGACAATAACCTTTGTTACCCAGAGCTTGGTTTTCTCACACTTATTTGCTTCCTCTGCTTAGGGAAACCTCACTTCTTATTAGCGCAAGTGTATTTACTTAAACAGAGGCTTGGGGAAAAATGTGTGGTTTTCAAAGATCTATCTCTTGACCTGTTACCACTAAGTGTTCTTATTAAATCTTCGCACTGACGCGTATTGCTATCAGTTTCGCTAGTTAGGGTGGCATCACGAGTCTTAGCGGGCAGGTGAGGCTGGTTAGAATGTGAAGACCCAGAGACCCTACCTTTCCTCTATTGTGTGACAGTCCTTTACTGTCGTGTGCACTCAGATTGTTACCTTTTGACTCTAATAAAGCCACAGAGATTTGTAGCCTGAGGATATGGTCCTAGCACAAGGGAGGGCACTACGTACCTCATCATGTGGCAGGTTTTAGGGACACGGGTACCACCGTTGTCAGAGGGCGAGGGCTCAAACATACCGTAATACTTACTTACAAGTGACAGTATCTACAGTAGCCTTAAGGAGTCGTACAGGGCAGCCTGAGAGAGGCCCAGGGGAAGGAGTTCAGGGCTACATCCTTTTCCTCTTTGGGGAAGCTGTGTCCATTTTTATTTGTGCAGGTGAAAAAGCAGAAGTGTCCCAGATGATCCTCACTGGTAAGCATGTGATGAGGTGTTAACCTCATCTCTTTTCCCCAGTGGTGAATGGAGGGATCTGGGCACAGACAAAACCAAAGAGGGTGGGGGAGATTTTAAAAAGTATGCAACAAGGGCCGCAGAACAGATTCTGGGCAGTTGACAACCCTGGCAGAGGGGGTGGTTGGGGGAGGGCTTGGGGACGCCTCCCCTGCTGTGTTCCCACTGCTGCCTGGGTTCCTTTTCTTTCCTGCCACCCCTGCCGCCTTGAGGGGGATGGCCGACACCCCCCCCCCCCCCCCCCCCCCCCCCCCCCCCCCCCCCCCC